TTTCAGTGGTGTGACAGTCAATGACGATAGAGAAACACGATTAAACCAGTCGGGATGTGCTGGTTTCTAGAGAGGAACTAACTGAAAAGTGCCGCAAAACTAGAGACCTCCGCAAAAGTTGGAAAGGCTTCCGAAAAATATTCCAGAGACGATGGATAAAAACTGTTGACACATCAATTCCCACTCATAGGAAGGTCGCCAACGTAAATCAATTATGTGGTGAAAACGAGTGGGAAAATTTAATGAAACTGTGACCCGAAGAATGGAGCGATTAATGAAGCCAGATAGAGGCTAAAGTCATGAGGGGCACCGCTATTGCAGTCAGTCACCAAATCTGAGAGGAAAACAAATATTACGAAAGAAGAAAATTCAAGCTCACGGGTTATATGATTTGGTGGGAATAAGATAACCACTGCTTGTTGTGAACGTCCCACCGGCCAAGATTACAAAACTGCGCGTTGGAGTCAAATACATGTGCAAATTTAACAAAACCAAAGAGAAAATACCATTAAAACAAGGAAGAAATATGTCTGGAAAGTTTACCAAAAACAGCACAGGATACCGACATTTTACTACTGCGCAACCGTGGCAATTTATTTATATGGATCTCTGTGTTAAGAAAAAAAAGAAAGATACGAGAAAGAGGACAGGTGCAAGCCTGATATAAATACCCAGTGTCCACAATCTCAGCACTCATTCAAACAATCTGGATCGAAACTGGTTGCATCAGATTATGCAAACCATACTAAACAACCTAAATAATTCTGCCTCACGGTTTGGCATGCAGTTCACACCGGCAAAGTGCAACTAGGTGGGCTCGAACCCTAAACTCATGCTTGCACATGAACCGTTCGAGGTAGCAGGAAAGTTTTTCTACCTGGGCAGCTGTAACAGTTCCGGTGGTCTCACAAAAGATGATATTCCCATCTGAATTGGGGAGGCTAGAGCAGCTTTTGTGAACCTGCGTCACCTGTGGCGTAGGCAAGACACATCAGCTTATCCACTAAGGGTCAATTTTACGATGTTGCGGTGCGATCCAGATTGCTATACTATTCAAAAACGTGGCCCCTGCGCGCCGAGAACGTCAAAAGCCAATCAATGTTTGACGATGGATGTCTTCGAAGCATTGCTCTGGAGGGGTGACCCCGGGACGGACCACATCAATGGTTGGAGACATTGTCAGGTGAAGGAACGACGCGAACCGAAGGTTCGAGTGATAAGCCTTGAAACCCATCTTCCAGATTTATTGGAAGTGGCAGAGAGAAAAAGCCGTCACAGAACACCCAGCACGGAATATATCCTCGAAGTGAATAGAGCCAGTATGCTCCGATTAAGATATGTTATGAAACTGCATAATATTTGGAAAACATGAATGAAGAATAGTTATTATTGATCGGTTTCCATATTATGAGTCTAAAAACTGGAGGTGGAATGTGACCTGTTTCGACAAACTGAAAGGGGTACACCGGACGAAACATTTTGAAAGATATTGGCTTAGGTCACAGGTCTGTCAACCGGATTTGCACGAGGGACAAGTTACAACCATATCCCTTGTCACCGGTGACGTTCGGTATCGTGCTGCTTTGGAACCGATCGATCAAAAGTAGAACTAACAACCAATTACTCAAAAAGCAACCAGGTTCCCCATCGGAATTCATGTACGCTTAGGCCACATGTGACTTCCTGTATGGACATTTTGGACAAGGAGGAAATAACATGACACGAAGCTACGACCAGACTGACTTTTGGATACATTCGATGACAATGAATCTAACTTCATGAAGGAACAACAAACGCGCACATAAATTAGAAGTGGGAGACGGGTGAGAACATCAGATCAGGAGGTTTGAGCCTTGACAAATGATTACACAACGAAGGAGATTGAAGAACGCAATAAGTGATCTACGGCCAATACTTTATTTGCACAGGAGTTTGGTTTTAACAGCTGAATCTCCCATTCATGATGATCCGCTTCAAATGAATATGCCACACTAGTAGCGCGTTACGTCTAGACGATAGACGATCCAGTTATTAATGGAATTCGAAAAGGGGATTTTACAATGTGAAGCCTTGATTCCGCATCGAAATGCTAGCGCGATGTTTGATGACTGGGATAACGGCGGCATTCTGAATAAAATGGAAACCTGTGGATGTTTTTTTAGAGATTTAGATATGTTACCTTTCCAGGTTGCAGCATGGAATGTCCAACACCTGCAGTTCATTTTACAGGCATCTGGTCATTGGTGGAATTGTGGGGAGGCAACAGCTAAGTATTTTTTTATTTTGCTACATTTACCTATTTGTTTATTTAATTTATTTATCTATTTTGCTGCATTTGTTTTAACTTCTCTCTGGAATTAGAGAATTCTCACCGAAAGATCATTTGATCAATACGCGGCTGGCACACGAAAGGTGTGACAGTTGAATAGTCCAGCCTAGAATCTGATGGAATTCGGAAAAATTAACGGAGTCTGCAGAACATTTTGCTGTGAAGCTTAACTCAGCAAAAAACTAGGATGCACTCGGGGTCACCCAATCAAACGGTAGAGAAAATCAGTGCTGGACGGTGCTCTCGACCCCTATAGTAAGGAACACCAAGGACAGGAAAATAGTTGACCCTATAATTATAAGGCGAGGCCAATTTAGGACGCAATCTAGGTGACCATTTTGCAGAAATAAACGAAAATCTGACAGCCACAGCTATGAAAACTTTTGAGACATTAAAAAGGTCACCAAGGAGTACTCTCATGAACAGAAAACTATACTGTAAGGTCACATAGGAGTCACCGACTTACTCTCGAAGGGTAGTTGTCCTGAGAAAAAAATCAAGGCGCCGGTAATCACTGGATATTAAATATCCAGAAATATCGTCTGAAGTTCCGAGTTAACATTGTCCTACTCCATTATGCGTCGCACGAGCACTTCGCGACACCGCCTACCAGCACACCATTTATGACGATGACGAGCGCTAAGGAAAACCAAGACCTGTCTTGCAGCGCGGAAGCCATATCCTTGAAGTGACCAAAAAAGGTGCAGATTACCCTGGATCAATCAGAATTCCGATACATGGTTTCCCAAAAAGCACCCAATTACGTCAGAAACGATGTTATTTTCAGAAGGCTGCTCTGTGTTTCTGCCAAGCATGTGATCGGTCAGGGAAATTCCTCCATTTCTCCCATATTTACTTATACGGCACCCCTGCCTAACAATCCTCTCAGAAACCGCCAAGTTCTTATAGTTTACATGTCTTTCTATGTGCTGCTGACAAAATTAACTGTGCTACAAATTACTTTGTGGCTAACGCACCATTGGTTATCTGAGAACTTAGGGTTAACCAGCGTCCGCAGAAAATTCCTGAATTCATCCTACTCTTTCGTTGAGGTCAGCTGGAAGAACCACGTACTCGTCGTACAGTGGTTGTAGCTGCCGCAGTTTCGTTCACCGATGATTTGGGGAGGGGGGGGAGGTAGCTGAGCATTGCACACGCGAGCTGGTAAATTGGTGCGTAAATCCAGCACTGTCAATGGGCTGTCAAGTGGGTGGGTTGGGTGTTGTAAAAGGAGCTATGCATTGAAGGTAATAGCTTGGATGCACGAGCGCCATTGAGGGCGCGAATGGGCCATGTCTGATAATGTCTCTAGCCATTGATGTGGCCCGTCTAGGGTTCCCCATCCAGGAAGACGGCAGTGACCAGCGCAGCTGATGATTTGGGGAGGGGGGGGGGTAAGTAGCTGCGCATTGCACGCGCGAGCTGGTAAATTGGTGCATAAATCCAGCACTGTCAATGGGCTGTCAAGTGGGTGGGTTGGGGGTTGTAAAAGGAGCTATGCATTGAAGGTAATAGCTTGGATGCACGAGCGCCATTGAGGGCGCGAATGGGCCATGTCTGATAATGTCTCTAGCCATTGATGTGGCCCGTCTAGGGTTCCCCATCCAGGAAGACGGCAGTGACCAGCGCAGCTGAGTTTGCTGGTAATGGCTTTCACACTTCGCCGCCAAGTCATTGTTTGGCCGTCTCTGGCTCTCTTCCACCCTTCACATGGTTGGGCGAAAAGAGCCCTTCGAGGAAGTCGGTCCACTAGCATACGCAGCACGTGGCCAAGCCAGCGCAACCGATGCAGTGTGATCAGTTCATCTATCGAGGGTGAGTTATTTCTCCCGAATACCATTCGACGTACTTCAGAATTGCTGATCCGGTGTTCCCACCAGATTCGGGCAATGCTCCGAAGACATCGATGGTCAAACACCGAAAGCCTTTTGACGTCTTCGGCGCGCAGCGGCCACGTTTCTGATCCATATAGTAATACGGAGCGCACCGCAGCATTGTAAACTCGACCATTGACAAAGAAGCTGATGTCACGCCTACGCCACAGGTGACGTAGCTTCGCAAAAGCTGCTCTGGCCTTCCCAATCCGGAGGGAAATTTCATCTTTTGTGAGACCACCGGGACTGATGCTGCTGCCCAGGTAAACAAATTTGTCTACTACCTCAATCGGTTCATCCGCAAGCATGAGACTAGGGTTCGAGCCCTAAAGCTGAGGTAGTCTTCAACAAACAGGCTGCAACTGAGGCACTCGAGTAATTTGATTATCATTTGACAAAATGCCAAGCGTTCGACGGCATTGTTTTTTAAGTACCCTTGTCAAAGGCTATAAAAGATGACATCTTGTCGTCATGTCAACGAACCGATGGTCTATCAATTTTCCTATAACCCATCCCCATCACCTGGCACACGGATCTAAAAATGGCCTAAAAATCAACACATAATCAAACGGAACACATGAACAGATTGCAAAAATACCGTGTTAGGACTGATTTCAAATAGCTCATCCGCTAAATCGATCAAGGAACTTACCAATCCGCACTGATAAATCATATGAGACACAAACCGTAACCAGACACAGGGATAATCCCACGTGAAAACAAACTCCAAATGCCCTGACAACTGTAAATTGGCAGCGTAACGCCGTAGTCAAGTCGGTACAGAAAAGAACCAGAGGAAGGAAGCCAATTTATTTCCAACGGGATTAAGAAAAAACAGCTGGCTCGACAGAAATCAATGGGAGGTATAAGAACGAAAAATAACATTTGTGAGCAGATAAGAAAAAGAAAATCGAAAAGTTTTGATACGAAAATTACTAGCAACAAGACTAGAGCGCCGTAAAAGAGACTACATTAGCGGGTCAGCAAGTTAGCTACAGTCACCCGTTGTTTACCTAGGGCTTCAACGCAGACAGAGGAAGGCAAAACCGATGGTGATAGTTCCGCGGATCAAGTTATCACAGTTGGAGCCGCACGCCCGGTTATCTCCTTCACACCACAAAGCTGAAGCGCCAGTTCAATGTGAGATTTGAGGTAGACCTGAGGAAGCGAGAGAACAATAACACGGTCTCAGCACACACGGAGATGATCCTTGACCGTTCGTAAGGTGCGTAAAACGGAACAATTCACTACCGCTAGTCAACTCAAAAATCCAGGCCGGAAAACAACGGAAATGTTAGCTGAATTCAGGATGTGTTAGTATCAAAGCAGGTCAGCAAGTCAACGTGAGTGACCAATTACTTGATTTCTGCCGGAACCAATGGGAAGTGAGAGTTCAGACGGTCAGGTGGCCGCTGATTGGTCGACTGGCTAATACGCCACAGCGTTTGTGTGCGTGCATGCAGCTGGTCGTGTCCGCAAGAAGCCAAACGGTCGACACATGGTCGACAAGCAACATAACCCGTTAAATTGGAAACAAAACTGCAACACCTCGAATATCGTACCAAGTGAAACATAGGACGACCTTTGTAAAGCACGTTCCAGTTGAACAATATCGTAAACGACAAATTCAGCCGGGATTCAGTTGAGCTTCCCGAAAAACCAAATTGGCGTGCTAATTTCGTAGAATTCACGTTCAAGCAGAACACAAAGTTTACGCACGCTCGAGGACTTTGCCTATCTGAGGAGCCGGAAGAAAGACGGAAGTGGTCGTTTATTGTCGAACAGTTTTCACCAACATTGTGAGTGGAGTTCCTTCAAGAAAATTTGCAGGCGTTTTATGTGGCTTCCAAATCTCTACCTATATTCTAGAGCCACAAGAAGGGAAAGCCCGGTAGTGGGCTGTCGAAATTATGAGAGATATTCACACAATATGGAGTATTCTGAAGACAGGACACTAAGTTGGACGCCGGCACACATCACAAGGCATATGGGTGAAAGAATATTGTAGAAATTCTGGTTTACAGTTTGTAGCTGCAGGAAACCCAAGGCCAAACGGATAAACGAGTTTCATCCAATCCGCGTATGCAAAGTAGTAGTGATCGAGTGGTACAAATCCGAGACAAAACTTTTTGAAACGACAAGCCCGAATATGGGTAATATAAATGAAAAGACAAATGTGGTGAGGTGGTGGAGGTGAACCGCAAACAACCAATTTACCGAACAGGTGCCCTATCGCCAGAGTTACCGAGAATGTCCCTATCCGTCACACTTATACATCTGAACTGCATGACTGATTCGCTACAATGAGAATTGGTTTCATTGTTGATATTTATCAGTACCACGTCGATACTATCCGAATAACCAAAAGCCACAGGTATAAACTGCGAGAAGATAGCAGACTTCGGTAGGAAGTGCAAATACGCGCAGCATGAACGAAAAGGCAAATCAGACGACGGTATGTACTCAGGCTTCAAGGTTTACCACATCCCCCTCTACCTCTAAACAAAAATAATTTGTAATATGATTTCTCCTGGGGGAAGAGGTCACTTTACTAGTGTTGGAAGGTGAAGCTGGATGGACCGTATGGTCCGCCTCGTAAAACACAGAAACGTCATCATCAATTTTGTCTCAGAGTGTTATCATCTTCCGAACGTCCTGGGGTCCACTAGAAATCTGCACATTATATTCTTAAACAGTTGGAAACAAAACCCGGTGAGTGCGCGGTATTTTAAGACGCAAAATCCCAACTGCAAGTTGTGTTGGGGGTGGATGGACGCGTCAGCTTATCGGCAAAGAGAGCGGAAGTGCAGAAGTATATAGGAACAACCAAAGAAACCATGCTAGAACAATCAGAAAAGGTTGGTAACCTAACCTGTGAAGGAATCGCATGCTTTGATGGATCTGGTTCGAATGTGTCGATATACATGCGCAACGTGGCCCCACTGCTTCCAGTCCCACTGAGACGATAAACAAAACGGGTGCCGTCTGTAAACATGATGCGGATACCCTAGAAAAGAGAGGATGGAAACGACGGTCAGGTTGGACACAGTTACTCGGCCAGATAGTACGACAAATAGAGGACCAAATACTATTTGTTAAACTTGCAATGCAAGGCCAAATGCATCAGGAATCCACCAGAGGAAGTCAAACTAGGGGCGCGATACGGACGAAATCATACACGCCACGCACGTAAAATGAAGCGATATCTAGTAAAGTTTATGGAAGAATTCATAGTAGGTTGGCGATAAACTAATACATCCCGCGAAATAAATCCAATCAAGGTATAAGGTTCATAAACTTGCAGCGGGTTTCGCTACAAGTGAAAAAGGTTGGAACCCGAGAACATGTAAGCAATTCGGTTTTCAGCATGCTGAAAATCAATGTAAAAGACGTCAAAGTCGTCAAACTGCAAAGCCGTTCGCAAGGACACAGTCTGAAAGCTTGGAAAATATCCTGGTTTACCATACAACTGTGACAACGGTAAAACAAAGTTTGTAACTCGGTCATGCCGGTTATGGCTGGTATTCATGATCATCATCATCATCGACAGCATGACATCAGTGTTCAACACCGATGCTTCACTGCCGTACAACCATGACTTAGTTGAAAGCCTTATTGTAAAGAAAAGAATAAAGGTGGACGGGAAAGGGACTTAATGCTAGCTTAACACAATCATTCCGAGGTGCCTACACCTCCAGACATTCGCTCAGGCAATCTGGACAGAAACTGACAACAAGAACGCCACTGACATCGGTTGGCAGCCATATCTTGCAGTGTCTCCAACCAGGCAC